GACTTTCATATTTCTTCCAACTCACATCCATCAGTCCACAACCCAAAGAAGCATTGTGGAAAACATAAAATGTCATGTTTTTTGGTGATGTTTCGGTAGTCCAGTAAACTATGCAACAGTGTTCATAAAGTTCATCTAGCTTCCCAGTTTCTCCACCACCTATTAATGCAAGAGATCTGCTTTTTATAATATCCTAGCACTTGGCCATTGGGCTTAAACATCCCAAACAAAAGAATCCACTATTTCACACAGCTGTCTGGTATACTGTTGAAAGGTTTGTGCCATCAGGAAGTTCTTCCTAAGGTTTAACTGAAATCTTCTCTTATGTGACTATTTTCTGAAGACATCTAATGAAGCTTCAACTTGCTGAAGCTGAATAGGTCTGGCAGGATATCATGACCTATATGAAGTTCCTTGGGAATCCTATGTCTTTGTAATGTAAAAAAAACCTCCCAAATGCCAGACTGTGAAGCAATTACTAATACGTTCCTTGGAGTTTTCTGTGGCTTTTTAAGCTTTTCATAAATATGTTCCCATTGGTTAAAGATGGGCTGAGAAACCACCACAAGATATTCATGCCTCCCAATTGTCAGAAAAGGCGTTGTAGTTATGGAGAGCTCATGATGAAGACCTATTATTAGAACTCTCTGAACACTCTCATTGCATCCCATGGGCATGAAATGCAGCAAAATAGGCACTGTGTGGGATGATGAGACTGTGGCATTTCACCAGTGTATCCTCAGCAAGCCAATACAGCAGGATTCCCTCTCTTAAATATAAGTCACGTCCACCCACTCCCCTCATTCATAATTGCTATGTGGGTATATGTTGGTGTAGGACAAGTATTTGTTGACAGGCCGATTTTAAGAGCACTTTCCTTTGACTGTTGGTTGGATTTGGAGCACGTCACTGAATCTCTCTTAGCCTATTCCACATTGCAAGTCAGATAACATCTCTCTGGTGTGAAGCTAGTCTATTACATTTGACTTAATTTGACATGGTATCTATGCCCCTTGCTTTTGGGACATCGTTTAGGCAATTGTCTCCAACCTTATGTCCTCCAGCTATTCTCAAGTAAAATGGCCTTCAGCCCCACCCTGCATGGTCAATGGCCCCTGGTGAGGGGAGCTATCATTCAAAATATCTGTCTGGCACATATGGATTATGTGTGTATATGTGTATGAGTATCATGCATTCATATATATATATATAATTCTTCTGCTATATAGTATAGTACAGTATAGTGTAGTATAGTATCTACCTCATTCCGTTGAACCAGAAAAGGGCAAGTGCTTATTATTTGAGTTCTTGATGCCTTTTGTTTTCCTGCTCATGGTAATTTTCAGACCATGTAGTAAAGCAGGTGCCACATAGCAGTTCACACTGTACATTCCCATGTTTAGTTTTTTGAACAGCTGAAGACACAAGCAGAAATAATTCAGCATGCTTGCCTCTGAAACATTCTTCTGTTTTCATCCAGCATTTTTGCTGGTGAGACACCAATGGTTTCTCCTTCTTTGAGAGGCTTTTAGTGTTATTAGAAGAAGTGGTTCTGAAGAAACGCAATCCTTTGGTTTGTGGAAGCAGACTTTGAGATTTGAATCTAAATTTTTAACTTTTGTCTTGGATTTTTAATTTCAGAGAACCATCAGGCCATAGAAGAATTGCTTCAGTGACCTAACTGTAGGAACAAGGACTGCCTGTTTATTGTACTCCATTGCAGAAATCATGCCAATACATTTAGAATTCACATCCACATATTTAGCCCCTCTGCCCCCCCCACACACACTCTGTATCCAGTATGTAAACCTGTGGTCCAGGTATTGTGCTCTCTGTGTTTGAAGTAGAATGTAATTTAAGGAAGCTCACACTGAGAAAGTCTTAGTCTTAAAAGCTTTCCAGTCCTTTTTGCTTTCATTTTTATTTGTTCCTGAAATTAATTATAATGATCACCTCTCCAAAAGCATTTCCAAGTAATTCAGATACTCTGCTACTGGTTTACCACATTTCATAACATATAATGCTAATAGTTGAAATGCTCCTGCATTCTTCTGCTGT